CAAACTGTTGGCGCCATAAATCCTGAATAATAATAATATATAATAATAATTCACCAAGCATGCTATTTAACCACCTTCCGTCCGCCATATAGTACAATGACAGGCGCAAGGTGGTTCTCTCATTCTGATAGAACGTCATATGATGTCCTTCCATTCTCACCGCGCATGCGCGGCTCAGGGAGCGCGCAGCACGGCAATCGCAGGGTCACAGTGGATTACGGAAAGAGCCGAAGATGTCGGCTCGGTCATGTGATCAGCTGTGTCCAATCACAGCTGATCGCATGTAAGCACGGAAATGCCAGTTATTGGCATTTCTCTCCTCTCGAGCTGTCACGCTGACAGAGGAGAGGAGAGCTGGTAATCGGCTTTCCGCGGAGGGGACATGTACACTGATCATCAGGGCACTGATGATCTGTGTGCCCTGATGATCAGTGTGGCCCCAGAAGTGCCACCTGTCAGTGGCCATCAATGCCAGCAGTCAGTGCTCATCAGTGCCACATGCCAGTGCCATCATGCCACATCAATGCCACATATAAGTGCATACCAGTGCACATCAATGCCACATATCAGTGCCCATCTGAGCTGCCTTTCAATGTCACCCATCAGTGCCAGTCAGTGCCAACTATCAATGCCAATCAGTGCCACCTATCAGTGCTGCCAATCAGTGCCACCTATCAGTGCCAGTCAGTGTCACCTATCAGTGCTCATCAGTGCCACCTATCAGTGCCAGTCAGTGCCACCTAACAGTGCCAGTCAGTGCCGCCTAACAGTGCCAGCCAGTGCTGCCTATCAGTGCCAGTCAGTGCTGCCTATCAGTGTCACCTATCAGTGCCATATATCAGTGTCATGTATCAGTGCTGCCTATCAGTGCCCATCAGTGATGCCTGTCAATGCCCATCAGTGCAACCTATCAGTGCCTCCTCATCAGTGCCCATCAGTGTCACCTATCAGTGTCCATCAGTGCAGCCTATCAGTGCCCATCACTGCAGCCTCATTAGTGCATATCAGTGAAGGAGAAAAATCACTTATTTACAAAATTGTATAACACAAACTAAGAAAAAACACTTTTTTTCAAAATTTTCAGTGGTTTTTGGTTTGTTTAAGAAAAAATAAAAATCACAGAGGTGATTAAGTACCACCAAAACAAAGCTCTATCTGTCTCAAACAAATGATAAAAATTTCATATGGGTACAGTGTTGCATGACCGCGCAATTGTCATTCAAAGTGCGACAGTGCTGAAAGCTGGAAATTGGCCTGGGCAGGAAGGGGGTATAAGTGCCCTGTAGGCGAGGGGTTAAATAAATTGTGCTTTTTTATGTTTCATTTTCTTCCTTTATTAAAAAAGCTGCTCTCCATTGAACTGTATTTTTTACTTTCCCAATGCCCTGTGATAGTAATCAAACACCTTTGAGCTTTCAATAGATTGTCAAACCAGAGCCAGGGATCGGTCCCTTTAACCTCTTGCCTACAGGACACTTTCACCCCCTTCCTGCCCAGGCCAATTTCCAGCTTTCAGCACTGTCACACTTTGAATGACAATTGCGCGGTCATGCAACACTGTACCCATATGAAATTTTTATCTTTTTTTTTCCCACACAAATAGAGCTTTTTTTTGGTGGTATTTGATCACCACTGGGTTTGCTATACAAATGAAAAAAAAGACTGAACATTTTGAATAAAAATGTGTTTTTCTTATAAAATTTTGCAAATAAATAATTTATCTTCATAAATTTAGGCCACAATGTATTATGCTACCTTTTTGTTAAATAAAATAACACAAATCAGTATATATTAAAAAAAAATAATATATATATTTATATATATATATACAGTTGTGTTCAAAATAATAGCAGTGTGTTGAAAAAAGTGAATAAAGCTGAAAATCCTTCTAATAGCTTTTATTTCCATACACACAAATGCATTGGGAACACGACACATTCTATTCCAAATCAAAACATGAAGAAAATATATCAAATTTGTGTTGTTCCTCTAAAAAATTGAAGAAAAGTGAATATTAGACTGGTTCAAAAAAATAGCAGTGTTTGTATTCTTCTTTACAAACTCAAACATTCACTATATAAACTGAAAAATGTTTGAAGATTTTGCTTTCCTTTGAATGACTTAATGAATATTTGGTTGTAGTCGCACTGTTTCTGAGAACTGCTGTACATCTGTGTTGCATGGAGTCACCCAACTTCTGGCCCCTGTGATCAGGTCTCCAGCCCAGGATGATTGGACTACATTCCACAGTTCTTCTCTATTTCTTGGTTTTGCCTCAGAAACGGCATTTTTGATGTCACCCCACAAGTTTTCTATTGGATTAAGATCCGGGAATTTGGCTGGCCACTCCATAACGTCAATCTTGTTGGTCTGGAACCAAGATGTTGCACGTTTACTGGTGTGTTTGGGGTCGTTGTCTTGTTGGAACACCCATTTCAAGGGCATTTCCTCTTCAGCATAAGGCAGCATGACCTCTTCAAGTATTCTGATGTATTCAAACTGATCCATGATCCCTGGTATGCGATAAATAGGCCCAACACCGTAGTATGAGAAACATCCCCATATCATGATGCTTGCACCACCATGCTTCACTGTCTTCACAGTGTACTGTGGCTTGAATTCAGTGTTTGGGGGTCGTCTGACAAACTGTCTCCGGCCACTAGACCCAAAAAGAACAATCTTACTTTCATCAGTCCACAAAATGTTGCGCCATTTCTCTTTAGGCCAGTCAATGTGCTCTTTGGCAAATTGTAACCTCTTCAGCACGTCTTTTTTCAACAGTGGGACTTTGCGGGGGCTTCTTGCAGATAGCTTGGCTTCACATAGGCGTCTTCTAATTGTAACAGTCCTCACAGGGAACTTTACACCTTCTTTCATCTTCCTGGAGCTGATTGTTGGCTGAGTCCGCGCCATTTTGGCTATTCTTCTATCCATTTGAATGGTAGTTTTTCGCTTTCTTCCACGTCTTTCGGGTTTTGGTTGCCATTTTTAAGCATTTGCGATCATTTTAGCTGAGCAGCCTATCATTTTCTGCACTTCTTTATATGTTTTCCCCTCTCCAATCAACTTTTTAATCAAGGTACGCTGTTCTTGTGTGTCTGGAACGACCCATTTTCCTCAGAATTTCAGAGAGAAATGCACTGTTACCAGCATGTACAACATTTGCTGCCTTCCTTCCTTAAATAAGGGCAATAATTGCCACCTGTTTTTCAAAGAATGAATGATGACCTCACTAATAGAACTCCACACGGCCATTATTTTGAACATGCCCCTTTCAATGAGTGATTCAATTACACAGAATCAGCAGCATGCATGTCATGACTGTTGGGTCTGTTGGATTTCTATTAAACTACTACACCTGCTAGTAAATTTTTTGCCACGTAGAAATATCATTTCTACCAAAAACAGTGATTGATCCGGTTAGTGATGTCTGACTGCTATCATTTTAAACACAACTGTATATACAGTATATATATATATATATATATATATATATATATATATATATATATATATATATATATATAATATAATAAAAATATATTTTTTTTTTTTTTTTTTTTTTGACTTATTTATGTATTTTTTGTATACCTGTGCCCTATCAGTACAGTGCCACCATATTGACACTGTACTAGTTGTGAAGAGTGAACAGGACTTTTTTTTTACACTGCTGGCTGTAAAAGCAATCATCTCTCCCTTGATCCTACCTAATCTGGCCTAATAGCTGAATTGGCCATCCAATTCAAAGTAGGCAGGTATCATAAAGAAAATGGAGAGGATTTTCAAGATTCTCATGCTATTGACTTTGCAAAGTACACAATCTATTTGCCTTTAGTAAACCAACCCCATAGTGTTGATGATACAGCCCTTTTACAGCCATCCCTATGACAGGTTCATAATGGGTTTTTAACCACTTCCCGTCCAGCCCATGTACATAAACAGCCGGACAAGAGCAGTGCAGGAGCAGGTGGCCGTTTTTAAATGTCCTCCAGTATTTACTGCCTGTGCGTGCTCCCTGGGAGCGCTCACTCCGCGATCTGGTGCCCACTGTGCCCATCACTGTACAGGACCTCTGTGTGAGGTCCCGATCATGTGATCACTGATTGGCTAATCAGTGATCACATGAATGGTAGTAAACAAGATGTCACTTCCTGACATCATTATTTACTACTTGTTAAACCTGTGAATGATCACATGGTACAAGGCTATTCACAACAGCTTTGTACCATGTGACAAGCTGTGACCAATCACAGCTCTCACCGTATCCGTTTCTCAATGGCTGCAATAATGCAGCTAGAGAGAAGGAGAAATTATTGCTTTTACAGCCTTTATGGGTGAAAAAGCAATCAGTGTAGAAAAAAAAAATCCTCATCACCCCCCACAAATAGTACAGTGTCATCATGGTGACAGTATGTTAAAAAAAAATAATAATATAAAAAAAAAATAAAAGTGTAAAAACAATTTTGAAAAATTATAATTCTTCATTATAAACTAATTTGGGTTGTTTTTTTTTTTTTTACTAAAAAGATAGCTGAATACATTTTGCCCAAGATTTATGAAGAAAGATTATTTATTTGCAAAATTTTATAAAGAAAAACACTTTTTTTTCAAAATATTTGGACTTTTTCATTTATATAGCAAAAGAATAAAAATCCCAGTGCAGGGGTGGACTGACAACTCATGGGGCCCCCGAGCAATGGGGGATCATGGAGCCCCTGTGTCCTTGCCCACACTCAAAGCACACTCAAAAAAGCCTATAAAATGTACAAGGGGCATTTCATGGGGCCCCCTACTGACCCCAGGCCCTCGGGCAGTGCCCGAGTGCTCGAATGGTCAGTCCGCCCCTGTCCCAGTGGTGAATAAATACCACCAAATTAAAGTTTTATCCGTCTCAAAAAAATGCTATAAAATTCATATGGGTACAGTGTTGCCTGACCGCGTAATTGTCATTCAAAGTGTGAAAGCTGAAAATTGTCCTAAACAGAAAGGAAATGTCCGAACTTGAAGTGGTTAAATAATCTCACATTTAAAACAGTGTCTAGCTATGGCTTTCAACATACAGCAGAGCAAAGGTGGTCCCATTGACCTCTTTGCACACAGTGCAGCCTAACCTAGGAGCGAGAAAAGTTTGCAGGTAATGTTGGGGCACTTTCTTCATTTCGAAAATTAAAAAAAAAAAAAACTTTCAACATTACAAGTAAATGTTGTGCATACTTACAAAATGCAAGCTTCGAGTCTGGGTCGGAGAGTAAACCATTCTCTACCTACGGAGGAATCAGCATAGCTAATTTGCAGAACTGCGCCTACAATCGCATCACCTTCTCTGTGTCGTTCCCTAGGGAGCAGAGCTTCCTTCAATTCACATTTTGAGTATATTTCAGGGTCTTTGGAAAATGGAAACAATGATGATAGCAGGAGCGGATTGAGAATGTTGGTCAATGCATTAAAATTCCCTGCCTGAAAAAAGAAACAGTATTTAGGGTAACGCCTTAAAAGTCACCTGTACTCTAAAACACCTGAGTTATTCTCATACAGTGAAGGAAAAAAGCGTATTTGATCCCCTGCTGATTTTGAATGTTTGCCCACACACAAAGAAATGATCAGTCTAAAAATCGAATGTTCGGTGTATTGAAACACTGAGAGACAGAATAACAAGAAAACATTCAAAAGAAATGCATGTCTAACAAATGATGCACTGATTTGCATATTTATGAGAGAAATAAATTTGATCCCCTATCATTCAGCAGGATTTCTGGCTACCAGGTGTCTTTCATACAGGTAACAAGCTGAGATTAGAAGCAGTCTCTTGAAGGCAGTGCTGCTAATCTCATTTTGTTACCTGTATAAAAGACACCTGTCCACAGGAGCAATCAAACATCAGATTCCAAACTCTCCACCATGGCAAAGACCAAAGAGCTGTCCAAGGAA